TACTTTTTCCTTCAACATTATTCTTCATCTAGAATTTGTTGTGATATCCTATACTAACTTACTATTGAGTTCATTATTATGAGTTTGATTAATATATCTTAAATTCTAAGATGTGATAAATTGCTGAATTGATTCAAGTATAACGGATACTTGTAGGACTTAGAGAAAATCCTAAGGTCAGAAACTCCAATATGTAGAATAAACTGTCACAGTTTTTTAATTTAGACATTAAGATAAACGAAAATGAACTTAGTGACAATTTGGTAATTCCTGTTAGAAAATAAAAACTATTGAGAAAAGTAAGCTAAAAAGAAAGAAGAAGATAAAGAAGATGAAGTGTTAATTTAAAGGTACATAAAGGTTATACAAAGGCTTAATAAATAGTACTCACCATTCCTGATCTCATAAAAACTTGTGTAATATTTTAGTCATATAAAGCTCATTAAAAATTACCTGACCAAATGCTAAATTTTAATTGAATAAAGAAGATAATAAATATAAATTTAATATAAGAGTTATGGACGTCATTATCTTAATGTTGACTAATCAGAATTTTACAATATTTAAACCGTTAGAACTATCTAATCTTAAGAATCATAACGACATATGTTTATTCAAATTGAATCACTGGATGGTGAGATAATTGAAGAAACATTAATTTATTTTATTTTTATATTTTATAGTATTTTTATTAGATTTTTATGAATTAATAGACGAAATTTTAGTTTTAGTTTTTGAGTAATTATGAAAAAAGATTTTCACTAAGCCTAAGCAAAAGTAGGAGCTTTGGGTTTTTTACTCATCTCATAGAAAAATAAGAGAGATATAGAAAAGTTTTTGAATAAGCAAATGATTATGAATGTCAGATACTGGTAAGAGAAAAAATGCTTTAAGGTCTTAAAGTTTGAGAAGTAGAATTATTATGCTAAGAAATTGGAAAAAGGTTTATCATTTAGCCTGTGAATAATGTGAAAGTATTAGGATATCTTAGATGATAAGATATTTTGCCAAAGAATTCTAGAAAGAAATAAATTATGATTTTTATAGATTTATTAATAATTTTAGACTTTGGAAATTTTATTTAAAGAAAAGATTTTTGATTGCATAAAATGATGATATATGATAAAAATATAAAAGAAAATTTTTATTTAATGATAATCACATGACATTAGAAAGAGAAACAAGAATGAAAGCAAAAGTGTCAACAATGTGATTGGTAGCTCTTAAAATAATATTAGAAAAGTAAAGGCAAAAATGTAACGATATGTGAAACTTTATTGAATAATGGAAAAATGATAAAATACATCAAGTAAAAAAAGAAGAAAAAGGAAAGAAAAATAATATATTTTAATAAATTTTTTGCATGAAATTGATTAAGTATATGATTGTAATTATTATTAAGTTACTCGACTGATTGATTTAATGCTTAGATTCTTTCTTGATCTTGTGAATGACCATTCTCTTAAAAGATATGTAATTCTTCTTTATATTGATTATATGCTTCTTTAAAATAATTAAACCTATTATCTCAATGATATAAACAAGAAGAAAGTTCAATTAGTTTTGTTTCTAAAAAATTATATTTTGCAAAATTTTTCAGAAATTTGAGAAGATAAATTGGAAAGTTGTTTTCTCAAGCCTAAAATCTCTTAATGTAATTCCAAATTTTCTTGATGAGTTTCTTTTTAAACTTCTTGATAAGAACTTATAGTCTAAATAGAGGAAAGAACATATTAGAAATGTGAAATTAGGCATCTTTAACTAATGAGTATCAGTTTACTAAAAAGTTAGCTTAATAAACTCAACAATGTTCTAAGAGGTTACATATCGATACAGAATAATAGAGGCTGTAATAACTAATTCTAAGCAAGGAAAACTCATATTTTAAAGACTTACAGTACAATATAAGAAAGAAGGCAAAAGTGTTAATATGTTACAGTTATATTAAATGAGATCGAATATACTGTCACACTCTTCAGACAAGAGATGAGTTGCATAACTATCAATCTATCAGAATAAACCTATAAGAGATACATTCTATATATTCTTAATCATCATATCTGGATATATTCTTAGGTATATCCATCTTATCTTGAGAAACTCTTTTGCTAAAATATTTTCTTTGACGAACTAAAACTCTACGACAAGTAAAGAAAGACTTTTTCTTATTTACTTAAACTATAATAAAGTTGGAGATGTTCTGAAAGTTTAAAATTTTACGATAATTTTAGAAGAAATGAAAAATTTTAAAGAAAATAAAAGGAATTCTTGAACAAATATTTATAACAAAATATTGTAGTTATGAAAAATTCTCAAGACTGTGAGAATTATTTTTTTGTAAAAAAATAAATAAAATTCTATTGAATTATATTGGATGATGATTATTCATAGAAATCTATAAAATAAATATCTATTTAAAATTAGCATAGTTGATCTACATTACCAAAGTTAGATAATCACACAATATTTGTATAGTACATTTTTGATCAACATTTCTTTATTTAGTACAAATTCAAAAAATTTTTGTAAACTACATAATTTTAAGAGTTTGGTAAAATAAATGCATAAAAATCAAGAAATACGAAAATATTAGTTTTCCTGAAAAAGAAATTACTTACAATAATTATGTAATTTATGCATTAAGAAAAGTTAAATAGCATAATCATTTGATTGAAAGTTAATTTTAGATTTGTGTTCAATAATTTTCTCGTGATAGATTTCTTAAATTTTAGATTTCAATAAACTTTCTTGATATGAAAAAAAGATTAAGCATATCATAGATGAAGATCAAATCAATATAATTAAGCTATTAAGTATATAATTTTATTTACAAAATGATTGATAAAATATATAATCCAGTCACAATTACTAGTTCAATCCAATGAACCACTAGCGAAGAAAAATTTCAAGAAAATCCTAAGTAAAAATAAATATTTCAACTACCATCCAGATTATTTAACTAAAGTCAACATCCAACTTTCTTACAAATCTTTGTAAAATAACCACTGCTCTAAAAATGCTTTCTTTTGACGAAAGTTTTCAGTTTCCAGTATATTTATTCATTATCTTAATAGTTCTTTATAATCAAATTAATCAGAATTATATGAGCGAGCCTTTTTGTTATTATTAATCTTTTTTTTTCTTCTTATGCTTAAACTTGTAATTCAGTAGCTCTTTGAAGTTTATTTCTTTGACATGCAAAAAGTTTTCATATGTTCAATTCTCTTTTAAAAAGAATTTTGAGAAGTATTTGAAGAAAATATTATTAGATTTTTGAATTTTTAGAAAACTTTAAGAAAAAGATTAATTTTGAAAAATCTAATTGATATATGTAAAAATTAATATTTAAAGAAAATAATTAATCACGTAAGCTCAATCAGACGATTACTCAAAATTGAAGTATTTATATAGAATTTTGAATCCTATAATTCTAAAAATCAACAAACTTTAGCCCTATATAATGTTAGAAAAATCTATATTTGTAAGATCAATTGTAGATAAATTATGAACAGCAAACTTCTTTAGAATAGGTTATGTTCATAAATGGCAGAATATCTGCAAATATTTCTTTTTGTAAGATTTTTAGAAAATTTAATTTTGAAGACAAAATTATTTCTTACTACGACGTTTGAAATTCAAGTTAGAAAAGTGAAAGAAATTACAGCTCTAAATATCATATGGGATTTGTCAATCAATGATGATCTTACGTTAGATGAAATCACTGCTACGTTAAACAATAATTAATAATAATTTTTATTTCTTCTATTTCTTCTGTATTTTCTGTATAGTCTATTTATTTTATTTATTCTGTTTCACCTGTAATTTTTTTAACGTTTGTAATTTATTTATTTATTTTTATTATTTTTATAGTTTACATTATTTTTATTATTTTATTATGTTTAAGTATATTTTTATTAAAATATATATCTATATTTAGTTAATTTATTGTATAACAATTAGTTAACTATAGTAAATTAATTTTGTATAAATAGAATAACTTTTCGCTTAAGTTGTAAATTAATTCTTCTACAAATTTCAATTTATAAATAAAGGAATCAATTTAAATCTATACAAATTTACTTTTCTTTTCAACGTAGTCTTTCATCTAGAATTTGTTATAATACCTTACACTAACTTACTATTAAGTTTGTTATTATGGGTTCAATTAATATATATTAAATTCTAAGACATGATAAATTACTGAATTGATTCAAATATAATGGATACCTGTAGGACTTAAAGAAAATCTTAAGGTCAGAAACTCTAATGTGTAAAATTAATTGCTGCAGCCTTTCAACTTAAACGTTAAGATTAGTATTGTTAATTTTCAGTTCCAATGATAAAATAACTAAAAACTGGAATGCTAGAACAATCATTAGAATCAAATAGAATAATGGAATTTTAGAAAACTAAAATATCATTAGAATATCAAAATTTAGTTAATATTCTAATTTTCAGAAATGTTTATTAGTTAAATAAATTTGAAATTATGATCAAAAATTTTTTTTAATCATAATCTTATTATACAAAATCATCTAAATTCATTTAATACAAAATGAATAATTGAGATGGTAAACCTTACATGTATTTGTAGAATTTATTATACCAGTTTGTCAAATATTAGTTAATAAAAGTAATTGTCTTGCAGTTTATAATAGTTATATTAATAAAAAAGGGTTCAGTAGGCGAAAGATCATTGTAATGAAGAAAAATATAAAGTATCTAATACTGTTTCAAGTATTGGAAAACATATTATAGAATGTTAACATTTTAAAGATGCTTTTTCAGAAAAATATCAATTTGTAAAAGAACATATAGAGAAAATTAAATAGTAAAGAATTAAATCACAAAAATTATCTGCTAAAAAAAGATTGCGAGAAGGTTTTATTTTTAAAATTTAATTTAAATTACTATTTTATTATTTGCTGTTTATACTAAAATTTAATAAAAAATTATATTTAGAAATACAAGAAGAAATTGATGTGAATGATTCTATATCAATGATTTCTCACTATTCCAATACTTTAAATTTTTCAAATGCATCTGTTAGTACAAGCGGATCAAATAAAAAACAAAAGCAGTTACAACCTTACTCTATATAAACAAGTCTTCAATATTATATAGGCCAGAATATTCTTTTTTGTAAAGAAGATAGGTTTAATACTCTTTTATTAGAAATAAAATTAACTGTATCTAATTATTAGGCATTTTATTGGGTAGAAAATGAGGAAACAATTGAATTCTTTAAGTTTATTGCATCATTATTAAAATTATCATCAAGACAAAAGTTATCTAATACTATTTTTAAAGATTCTGTAAAAGAATGTCAACATGAAATTGAAAATATAGCTAGTATAGATAAGATAGCCTTATAAGAAATTTGTATATAGAAATGATATAGAAATAATACGTTATTAATACTTTTTTAGTAATTCTGTATCACAATTCTATAGATTTAATACTAAATTAAATTTTGCATATTTTTTAAAATTAAAGTATATGAAAATTATATGGAATTATTAAATATTTATTTAATTTGATAAGTTATACAATTAATTTTACTGATAATCAATTTTTCAATCTTTTTTTTTAGTATTAATTTTCCTTTTTGAACCATTATATTTTTTTTTTTTTAAAAAAAAATACTTATTTTATTTAACATAATCTTTAAAAAAAAAATCTTATTTTTTAAAATTTAAATACTTGAACTTGTAAGAATTTATTAAATCTACTTTTTTTTATTTGTAAATTCTAATTTTTATATTTATTTAATATCTTTTTTTATAAACATTAAAACAGAGATTTCATAACGAAATTTGAGCACTTTGGTCAAAGTCAATCACCTTTTATATCTAAGTAAAAGTTGTTTAACAGATTGATACTATTTATATCTAATATTTTTATATTAACTGAATTAATATTTGTGTAGAAATAATTTTTTTATAACTTTACTAAATAAGTCACACTTTTTTAACTTTATAAGGAAATTTGAGTACTTTGGTCAAAGTCAATTGCTTTTTATTTCTAAGTGAAAGTTGCTCAGCAGTTTTAATACTATTTATATATAAGATTTAATCTCAATTGGATTAATATTCATATTATAATATATGTTTTTATAACTTTATTAATATTGTAGACCTTTTTTTTAACTTCACAGAATAATTTAAGCACTTTGGTCAAAGTCAATCACTATTGATCTCTATGTGAAAGTTGTTTAGCAGATTCAATACTATTTATATCTAATTTTTTTATTTCGATTGGATTAATATTTGTGTAGAAATAATTTTTTTTGTAACTTTACTAAATAAGTTACACTTTTTTACCTTCACAAGGAAATTTGAGCACTTTGGTCAAAGTTAATCACTTTTATTTCTAAGTGAAAGTTATTCGGCAGTGCAATACTATTTGTATATCAAATTTAATATTGATTGTATTAATATTCATATTGTAATATGTGTTTTTATAACTTTATTAATAATGTAAACCTTTTTTTTTAACTTCATAGGATAATTTGATCACTTTTGTTAAAATAAATTGCTTACTGCATATTAAGTAAAATGTTCTATATACCTAAAACAACTTATATATAAATTTTTATCTCGCGTGGTTTAATATTCGTTGAGTAATAGCTTTTCGTAACTGTATTAATTCTCAAATTTTTTTTTGTTTTTTTTGAATATTTATTTGTGTAATTTATTAAATACTGTATCAATATAAATGTATATCATGAAATTACCCACACTTTATAAAAAAAAAAAGTATCAAATAAAAGTATTTTAAAGTTATTATTTTGTTTTATTATATTTAATTTTCTTTAAAAAATTTTTTTTATTGATTTTTATTATATTTTTAAGATTACATAAAACAGTAATTTATATAATAATTAAATATTACAATTACAGTTTTTCATGTAGAATTTTATTCATTTTCAAATGTGCTTTTTAATTATGATAATTAATGATAAATTTAAAAACTTTTATTAAGAGTAAAGTTCACTTTGAATTTCATAAAAGATTGTAAAAAAAAAACTTTTCCCTCCCTTCCACCTATCCGTTATAATCTTTGCTTTATATTTTTTGTTTGTTTACACATTCTTATAAATTGTCTAATCATATGATCAGTTCACATTACACCTGATTGTTTAAACTTAAATATTGTTTGTTTATTTATTTTTTTTGTTTATTTTATTTTTTGATTTTTTAAACGATAAAAAACTCTTTTCGCAATATGGGTAAACCAAAGAAAGAGAACAATAAAAATTTACCAAAACAACAACCTCGCTCTCGTCCTGGCACTCTAGAGCAATAACCAAGCAAAAGACAAAACACTCTACAAACTACTGAACCTGAAAGTAGTGTTTCCGCTAATAATAATAACAAAGAAACTCTAGTTACTATAGAGGTTGACCCTCTTCTGCTTGATAAAGAAAAAGGCAAAGAAATTCCTACAGATGAAACTCTAGTTATCACACCCGACCAAACACACATGAATGTCGATGATGCTACTAACGCCTCAGAAAATTTTTTGACAAAAAATAAAAGCCCCCAAGAAATTTTCACCAAAAAAACAAATTTTTTCGCATTTTTTTTAGTGGACGATTACCCTGGAAAATCCCCTCAATCAAAAATCTCTGATGTCACTGACCTCGTTTTCAATCAGTTCAACTTCATTTTAGGTGTCATTTTTGCTAAACACCCAGAGAACCAATCACAAAAAATCTTAAAAGTGACATTTTCTGATAAAGACGAAAGGTACACGTTCTGTAAAATCATTTTGCCTAATTTAGAAAAATGCACGTTTTTACTCCTAGATATTGTATCAAAACATCCATTTGTTCTATAACAATCGATTAAAGTTATGGAAATACCATTGGATGCCACAGAATTATGCATCAAAAAGATCTTCTCCCAATTTGGCAAGATCGTTAGATTCAATATGGAAACAAAAAATCTTTGACAACAAGCCACAATCACATATAATACAGATGCAAATTTTGTCAAACTGAAAAAAGGTTACGGTGTCTTTCTTCTAAATGACATAGTTCAGTTTTATATGTGTGACTTGTTATATGACAAAATCTTAGAACAGTCAAAATTCTCAGCTAAACTCACATGTTTCCCTCATTATACTACGGGCAAAGATTTATCTAATTTGGATCTGATGGTTAATGCAACGGCCTGGATTATTCTTAAAGTCAGATCAAATTATCACAGCTTATAACAAGCATTCTTTTATTTTCCTTTAGCTGATGATTACAAAGCAGCGATTAGTAATGATAATCTCACTATCAATAGTAAACATGTAGAATGGACTGAGACCCAGGTCAAACTATGTGCTATTTGCTCCTCTTCATATTACAAAATCAAAGATTGTCCTAAAAAACGTCACGCTCCTCAAAATAAAAACACCCAACATCTTTACCAATGATTTCAATCAGCACAATACAATAATTATAAAACTCTAACACGTCCTCGTAAAGGTACCATCAGTTCAAATATTACTTTCACCAGCATCGTCACAGATGATACACAGAAACTACTTAAACAGTCTCGCATACCTACGAATCTATATCCCTTAACTAAGAATACAAATAATAGTCCTCCAGTATAACCCTCTAATTTATTATCAGACTGGAGTGACAATATCCCTCTGAATATGAAACAACAGAGCAATCAACCTCTTCAATAATAATAATGATTATGTAACATCTCTGCAGGAATGAAAGCAGGAAGATCTATACATGAAAAAGACACTGATAGTGATTTTAGAGACTTTATCAAAGCAAGCTTCTTACAACTTACTCAAAAACTTGACGATCTTACAGTTACCTTAGGCATCACCATGAAACGAATGGAGACAATCGAGCAAATACTCAATATTAAGGTCAGCTTTCCTGACGAAGAAACAATGACTGATTATGACCTAAAATAATACAGAACTGGTTCAGTAGTAGATATGTCTGAGTCGATCATTAGTAAACAATGTCAAACTATCACAGTTCTCACAGAGATTACTGACGCATAAAACCTACACCTTAAGAACTTTATCAAAACTGTCAACACCTTAGTTAACACTTGCAACACATTCCGTGCAGTTCTCATTCATAATAACTTGCTTCAAATTGACAAAATGCCAATATCGTACACCCTCAACACCAATTATAATATGGATTCAGAAAAGGCTTTTAAGAGCTTCCTCCAATTTTAAACATATATTATTATGATTACTGTTCCTATAGATACTAACAATATACTTTCTCCACCTAATAATAATTCCAATACAACCTTTCTTAATATACTTAAACTTTTATTCGCAACCCACAACGTTAGGTCCTTTACTAATATTGCCAAACAACACCACCTTTTATCATTATATTCTTTATACAATATAGACATCATTAGTCTTCAAGAAACTAACTTCAAACCCAAACATGAAAAGTTTTTAACCCTTTACATCCTTCCTTTATATCATTTTTTAGTTCAAATCTAAAACAACGCATTGCATTTGGTGTGAGTATAATACTTAACAAAAAGATTGCTCATCACATTTACAAACATGAAACCAAATTCGATTGAATCATACATGTCGATTTACAATTTGCAAATAAACAAAAACTTCGTATTATTAATTGCTACCTACTGCCAGCTGACCTCAAAATGAGAAAGGAAATCCAACTGGTTCTTTGCAAATGGATTCAAGAAGCTGCTATCAATGACTTCCATTTGATTGTTCTTGGAGATTTTAATGCTGATATAGACCATTTACATAATCCCACAAACAGCCTTAAATTCTTCGAAGTTTTTTATAGACTGTCACTTTTTGACATTTTCTCAATCAAACACGATCGAAATAGAATTAACTTTCCTACCTATTTTTTAAGCCAAGTATCCTCAAGGATTGACTATATTTGGACTTCTGCTGAAATTTCTCTTAATATTTTAGATTGTCATATGGTTGCTTCTAAAACGAATATATCTGATCACCATATAGCCGTCACTACGATTACAAATTTCTTAGATATCAAATTTAACAAACATAAAATACTCAGAAAAATTAGTTTCACTTTCGACAAAATGAACGAGGACCTATAAAGCAAATTTAGTAATAAACTCAACACATTATTAAATAGCAGTCAAACTAAAACAATCAATCAGCAGATATACTGAACGCATTCCTTACTAAAGAAACACTGAGACACCTTTCAGGACCTTTTGATTAAAGCAACCGAAAAATGCATACCTCTTAGAAAATCGTCAGGCCAATTCAAATATCCAAGACCTTCTAATCTCATGAAATTATACTTACATCAAAAAATCTTACACAAGTTCAAAAAGTTACTTCTCAAAGTTAAACAGGATGCTTTATTTCCTGCTAATTAGATTCCCTTGTATGATAATTTTCGCAATATAGCTAACTCACTTGCATTTATTACTGCGCATCCCAGCTCAGACTATCCATTTAATTTTATCGACCTCCTCTTCTCAGATACGATTCTTCTACTTAAAGTTATCTTATGTAAAGCCAAAATTCATGAGAATGATTACAAGCTTACTTCTATATAGAAACATTTAGATCAGCGATTAGATGCTTATGCTAACAATCCAAAAAAATTGTTTGATTCAGCATTAAATCGTACAAGAAAGACAATTGTACTGGACAGATGTTTGTTACGAAATGCTCAAGAACTCCTTACAGAAGAACAATTAGTTAAACAAACAGTTAACGACCATTTTCAAAGAGCAGCAGGTACCACATATGAACTGAAAAACATCCCTGACGAATGGCTTCCCACATACAGCCCATTAGAAAATATAGATCCTAGCATTTATAAGGACCTAATGGCATCACCTTCAGCGGAAGAATGGTATTCTATCGTTAATTCTCTTGCAGATGGTAAAGCATCTGGCCCCTCCAAAATCTCGAATGAAATGCTTAAACACTTTAGCCTTTAGTTAAAAAAATTTTTTAGTACCTAATATGTGGCTGTTTGTCGATCTCAATACTCCTTCATTGATGGAATTTAGCATTTATTTATCTGATTCTGAAACCTAAACTTTGAGAATTTGATTTAAACAACACGAGACCAATTACTTTATTAGAATACCCCAGGAAAGCCCTTATAAAACTCATTAATACGTGGCTCTCAACCATATTCATCCAACACAATATCCTTAGAGGACATAATTTCGCAGGACTTTCCTTTCACTCAACCTTTGAACCCTTACACATTCTAGACAATATATAAAATAACGCCCTCTCAAATAAAAAAGAATTATGGGTCCTTTTATAAGATATGTCTAAAGCTTACAATTGCGTAAATGTTTTTATGATAGTCAGAACACTTGAACATTTAAAACTTTCTAAAGAATTTATTTTCTTTATCCTGAATATGTTTATGTATAGGAAAAACCAGGTTTTTATCTCGTTTGGATTTATAGATACTTACAAGGTTTTCTCAGATATTGATCAAGAAGAAATCATCTCACCACTCTTGTGATGTATCTATTATGATCCCTCTTGTATACACTGGTCGAACGATGTTAAATAGGGATCAATAGGGTACCATTCGGGTTGCTAGATGATACCTTATTGGTCCCCTATTTTTATTTATCAAGGAACCCGATTGCTGTCAAAATTTGGCGCAAAAAGAGTACACTAGGGTTCCAATCGGAATACTTAAATTGGGTACCCATCAGTTACTAATTTGATACCAATAGGTATATCCTATTAGTATAAATTTAACTAGTTTTCAATATCCCAATCGATAACTTTTGATATTTCGTTATACCTTATTGTATAAATTTATTTAATTATCATATCCCAATTGATATAAAATATATGTACGCAAATGTATTTATTTATTTATTATATTACAAAAATATTTGTTACAATAAAAGCAATTTTTTTAAAAAAAATAAAATATTGTATTATTCATCGTCGGTTTCTTCACTATTGCTATCATACTCCTCAGAAACCACACTTCTACTCTTCCTGCTTCTATTATCTCTTTCCTTATCTCTATTATTTACATCATTCAAATCTTCAAAAGGAGGAGGAGGAGGAGAAGAGAAAGTACCAATTTGTTTCTCTATGTATGATCTTAACGATCCATTGTATCCGGATCTTGTCCATACAGAAGCATTTACCGGAGCTTTTTTTCTTCATCAGACGTAAATTTTTCATAATTAAATTTGCATTTTCGAGTTCTGCGTACTTTTGACGCCTGGTTGAAGTTAGCGTTCACGTAATCTCGTAAAAATACACATAACTATTTTAAAGAGACTTAATTAATATTGTACCTAATGGAAACAAAATAAATTTAATATTACTTACTGTTGAAGATCTCCACTTGAGATCCCGAATGACAATTTTTCGTTTATTTGGATTGTCATCATCACTCTCGAACACTTTTGGACTGTGGTATCAGTTATCAGTCCAGATTGGTTAGAGTTCGTCGTTATAAAATCTTCCAACTAATCGATCGTCCAATCTTGTTAATTTATCGATTGTTCTCGCTTTTCATTCACGTTTCTATTTTTAAAAAATAAAAAACTAGTAAATAAATTAAAAAAAAAGTTCAAAAACAAACAATCTGTCTTTGATTACTTCGTTATGGTGAGAATTTGCATGCTTTCGTCTTTTTTTGGCATCATTCCATTCATCGTTTCTTTGTTTATTAAGGAATATCTCGCATTGATGACGATGTCGTTTGTGGATGATATGCTTGATGATACCATCCACTACCAGGAACGTTTGCTTGTTGATAGATTTTTTTACGATTAGTATGATTTTTTGGATAATCAACTTTCGTTGGTCTTCAAAAGTTACAGAAATATCCGGCTTTTGGCTTTCTGAAAGCCTGTCCATAATTTCAAACATTTCAGACTGATTATAAAAAATATATATTCGGTTAAGTAAAGAATAAAAAATAATAAATAAAAACAATGAATTAATTTAAGTTATCCTCAAGGCGTTTTTCAATTCCTTATCCATGTCATCGTAAATAAGGTAAGGAGAAGGTGAATGTGAGGGTGAAGGAACAGAAGATGAAGGCGAGGATGAAGAGGAGGAAACGTTCCAATTATTCTTGTTCTTGTCCCGATTGGAAAGATTTTTTTTAGGGTTCAGAAGTCTTTTTTGTGATCATGATCTTTCCGATCGGAGCCAAGGAGTGAAAATTCTTTCTTGGCTTCTATCTCTATTATATTCGTACTTAGAGGTAGAAACTGGTTTCATCATGATTCTATTCTTCGTTGCATCTTTCGAAGTACCGGGTTGTCTGTATCAGATCGTATTTAGTTGAGAAGCATACTCATTATCAGAAAATCAATAATATTATCCTTTGGGTCTATTGCTTTTTGTTTTTCTCTTGTAATTATTTTAAAAGATCCTTTAGCTCATCTACTTAAGCCTGTAATACATCTATTGTAATTGTAAAGAATTAGTTTGAATACAACTGGTAGGCTTTGGTTAACTAAATAAATATGCATATATATATAAACAAACATACCAATCCTTTTATCTTTTTCTTCATTTTCTTGAACAACATCAACCAAAACGGGAACTCTCGTTTAATTTGGTTGATGTTCATCTTCAGATACGTAACTATCATTGAAATAAATGATAAATCAAGAAATCAGAAAAGAAATAACCGATTTAAACCTAAACAACATACGGTTGTGTTTCACTACTCTTTTGTTTCTTTTTAGTCTTGAGCTTTCGTATTAGTGAATATTTTCTTTGTTTGTCATCATCCGATGACTCTTTTAAAGAAGGACGTTTATTATATTTTTTAGTCATATTTTTTTCTTCTGTAAAATTTTTAATAAACAGAAAAGAAAAATATGTTCCTTTTATACGTTTCCAAATGGATACTAGAGGTATACTTTTGAAATATTAAAATATTAATTTATTTAATATATGCCACGTATTTATGATTTTATTAATAGGAATAAAAGGTCATAATATACTTTTTGATCTTAAAGCGACTCGTTTTCCTAGTTTTTTTTCAATTGATTTAATACATCTTATATATGAGAACATAGCGTATTATATGTTTAAATTGTGAACAGGAAAATTTTTTAGTAATAATAGTAGTTAAGACATTGGTGACTATGTTTTCAGTCAGAATGTTTGGAATACAATTAGTAATGAGATGCATTATGTTCGAAAAAACTTTCCAGCCTATCTTGGATGCCTACCTCATAATATTGTGTTATATTATAAAGGATATAAAGCTGAAGAGTGGGCTACCTAAATTACTATGTATTCATTACCTCTATTGAAAGGTAAAATGCCACAAAAACATTATGAAGGATGGGTGAATTTTGTTAAAACCATACATCTGTGTTAAAAATTATCATTGATACTTAAAGATATTAATGATATTCAGTCTCTATTTTGATCCTTTTATGATTATTATGAAAAGTAAGTGGTATTATTAATTTAAACTTATACAAATTTTTTTAATATCGTCTTAATCAAAGTATATGATTGTATTTACACTTTTATTTTAAGAAAATATTATCGAAATTTAAAAGGCGATTAAGTATAATGAAATTATGTTTTCATTATCTTTTACATATTACTGATAGCATAGAAAATACGAGTCTATGTTGGGTCACATGGTAATTTCTTATGGAAAGGATTTGTGGAATATTACTTCCTTTGGTTCGATCACGATTACATCCTTATAAAAATATAATTAATAACATACATATATGGGAAATGTTTAACCATTTACAATATTACCAAGTTGCATATGAGACTATCTTTCCTTCTTAAATATCCAAACATTATCCAAATTATCTTGTATATTCTCAATCTAATACCGAAGAGGAGTTATATTTTTCTTCAAAAAGATATACTCTTAGTCAGTCAGAGTTAATAAAGATTAAAGAACATTTTTCTGTATCTTACAATTTCAGAGATCAAAATTGAGTGTAAGTTTTAATTTTTATGCATTTGATTACAGAATCCTATAAATAGATCGATAAAATGATCATTTATCTCACTAATATTTGATATAATATTATGTAGTCTTTTTCTTCATTATGTATAAAATACGGACATTTACATACAAAAGAAGGTTATCAAATTAGATCAAAATAGATAAGGTGAAATGATGATTGGTCTCACGTTAATTACTCAATATTAGTATATTACTGATTCGTATAAGACTTGGTAATGTATATTTATTTATTTTTTATTTAATAATATTTATAGGCAATTATAGAAGTGGATAAGTGGACTTTGTTTCTCTGAAAAATACCTGAATATATATTACAAAATTTTTATGATCAAGTTGAATATTATATGATTTATGAATTTGAAAAATAGACTCATATGTTCATTGGGCTGCTAATATCATAGAAAATAATATAGTGTTTTTATAGGGCTTTAACCATCAAAATTATACGAAACTTAAGTTGAATTTTTGTGATTTTTCTGATTTTTTATTCTTTTTTTTCGAAAATAACAATATTACTATAATGAATATTTAAGATGATTTAAGGGATTTTAGGAGGAAAATGGATTATATTTTATCATTTTACATAGATTTTCCATTTTTTACTTATATTTTTTAGATAGAAAATTAATCAGTAGATTTTGGTAATATTTATGTTATGTTTTTGCGAATTATATTAGGTTTTTATTATTAATAAAATTATAATATTTAATAAA